CTCTACTCACCTCTTACTTCGCTCGTGTGCCGACCCTTCCTGATCGCGCAACCCCGAGCTTCCAACAACGGGTTAAGAGAGCTGACTAATCGCGCAACCGAAATTTATAGCGTGCATGCATGCGCGAAGAACACGGAATTACCAGTACTTAGAGTGGGGATTAGAGAGGGAGCGCCTGCGTTCTGCATGATCGGCCGCGGCGTGGGGGACGTAACCCTTCTCCACGCATCGATCCGAGCATGCAAGCCGCGGCTTACAAAAATTTCGGCAAAAGAAAGAAAGGGAGGGCGGGAGAGACAAAGTGCAAGAAGAAAGATACAGTTACAATGGCGCCCGCCCAAAATTACAGTTACACACACGATTAGGGGCGCCTACTAATCAGAATACCGTTGCAGTCGCATAAAGAAGCGCGTAGACAAACGGCGCCGCACGGCAGGAAAAATCCTAATTACTGAATTTCTAAATTCCTATCTAATGCGAAAAAGCAAAAGGCACAAATTCCAGAAGGAAAGTCCAAAATTCCGAGAGCCATCGGGGCTCGACAAAATTCGAAAAAGACTCAAAAGAAAAATTTAAAAAGAACGAAGCAATTTCCCGCGCGATGTCCGCGCCCAAAAGGGAACGAAAGAAACGACATCATCTTTAATTAATCGCGCGCGCGGTGGCGCTCCAGACATCCAGCCATCTATCCGACCAATCAATCATCTGGCCATCCTAGGACGCACCCAGCTTCGAACCCAGTCATGAGAAAAGTAGCGACGAAAAAGACGAAAAAGCAAGGACACTGATGCAATTTTCCACCAATCCCGATCTCCCGTAATCGGCCCAACCTTCCCAGCTTAGGACCCCATGTTGCAACCGCGCAGAAAATCGCGCGTTACAGAAAGTGGTTCGTCACAGCCCAGCCCTGGTTGAAGCCGAATCGGATGAGCCTTGTCGAATGGGAACTTCGGACGCCAGGCCCAGACAATCTACTACAGGCCCCAAGAGACTATGGACCCTAGGTTCAGACAGGGTAGCACAGTTCTATCCGAATGTCAGCACCCTATCCAATCTACCTGAACCTACTGCAGATACTAGACCCCACCTACCGTTTACCCTAGGGTCTAAGCCTTATATATAGCCAGCAGACAGTTCTATCCGAATGTCAGTAGGAACCACACCCAATGACACCCTATCCAACCTACCCGATACTAGAACCCACCCAGTGACTAGACCCCCCCAGCCTGTTCGCAAGCTATGTGTATACCCGAAGGCTGTGTATGCTCTGTGAATCTATGTATCGAGATGTACAGACATCATCATGTGTGGAAACTAGTGTATGTAGCCCATAGGCGATGTGCAATTCGCAGGCTATGTGTATGCCCAAAGGCTGTGTGTGCTCTGTGAATCTATGTATAGAGATGTACAGACAGCATCATGTGTGTATATTGAGGAGAGAACGGGGCAAGCTGGACAAGGAACCCTTCCCAAGGTCCGAACCAAGCTCGAACCCGGGACCTTGTAACATGTAATCCAAGACTCTACCGTATGAACAACTATCAGAAACGGCACGAACACAGCCCTGTGAATCCCTGTACAGAGATGTAGAGACAGCATCATGTGACACTGTGTATATCGAGGAGAGAACGGGGCAAGCTGGACAAGGACCCCCCCCAAGGTCCGAACCAAGCTCGAACCCGTGACCTTGTAACATGTAATCCAAGACTCTACCGTATGAACAACTATCGGAAATGGCACGAACGTGTGATATGCCAGACTGGGGAGACCATCAGAACACCCAAGACCAACACCCCCAAGCAACCCCTGTGGAACCCAGAACCAACATGTAACACGGTGGACTTAGTCTACCCTTGGGTGGTGCGCAGGCAGTGTCTGTAATAGTACCATGCTTCAGCCCAAGGTGGTGTGTGTCCAGCTGTGCATCAAACTAACGCCCTGCCGGTGTCCATCCGCAAGGCTGCGGGGTTTTGAACCTGCAACCTTATACCACAATGCGCATTTCCAACCGGTGCGTGAACTCAGTCACCTGATCTGGCATGTGGTCAACTTGACCACTGTCATTACAGGGCAGGAAACACAACAGATTTTTTATTTTTTTTTTAGCTATATTCTTCTCTCATTTCACCTCACACAACCTATCTACCACTATCCAGTGGCCTACCTCAGTTGGTAAGGCTCGCAAGTGGCATTCAGGAGGTCGTGGGTTCAATCCCCATTGGCCTCATGTACCCTCCTGGGCATGCTTGGCGCCCGCCACCTAGAGATAGACCACTGGATCCCCTGATTGGCATTTAGCAGAGTCTGCTGATGTTCATAGGGGAGGGGACCTGAGGGGAGGCACAGGGATTGGTCCTGTTGGCATGGTCCCTGATGCTACCGGGTGTCCCCTAGCGGTATCGCCCACCTGCAGGTCGGGAGCAGCCCCCGCATGTTCTCTGGTGAACACGGTTCTCGCTGGGTGTCCTCTAGCCGGTATAGGTCGGGAGCAGCCCCCGCATGTTCTCTTGTGAACACAGTTCTCGCTGCTACAGGGTTCCCTGTAGGCCTGTATGCCTACAATTAGGAGTAGTGGCAGGTAGGTAATGTGAGGTGAAATTGAGAGAAGAATATAAAGAACAAAACAAAAAAAAACTACCACTACTTTTTT